CGCTGGCGCCGCGCCCACACCCTGCCCGCGAGCCGTGGGACGCGGCCTGGGACCCGCCCGCGCCCGCCCACCCGCCGGCTCCACCTGCCGCTCCCGGCTGCGCCCGCGGACCCCCTAATTGGCTGCGGGCGTTCCCGGCTCCGCCCGCCGCCGCAGGGCACTCTGGAGACTGTAGTCCGCCGCGCGCTCGGGAGCTCCGGGTGGGTCCTGGGGAGTTCTAGGGACCCCCTGGACGGAGCCGTCCTGAGTCTGGGAGACCAGCCGCGCCTTGTGGCGCCCCACGTTTCTCTGCCAACGAGACGGGGAGCGAATTGGCCTTCCCTGAGCGCGCCCCGATTGTCGTCCGAGGGCCAAGAAGGTGAGCCGGCTTTCAGCATTGAATCCGCCCCCGACCCGCCCTCGAGGTTGCGCTGCTCGCGCCCGCTTTTCAGGTGGTGGCGCCGGGCTGGGGAAGCACCGGCCCGGGGCTACCCATCCGCCGGCGGATCCGCTGCGGGATCCTCGGCGCGGTGCCGCCTCCTACCGCGCGCAATGCTGCGCCCCTGCGGCCGCGGTCGGTCCCCGGAGGCCCCGGCTTCCCGGATCGTTTACTGCTTCCCAGGCGCTCCCGGACCAGACCCAGAGCCGGCCAGCATCGGAGCCTGGGAGAAAGGGCCCCTGGGGACTCATCACAGCTTCACGGTGGATCTCCAGATGTGTCTGCATATTAAGTTAAAAGCTTCTGGTTCTTAATTTCCCGGTTTAAATAAAGTGTCCTGTATGCAGCTCCTTCCCTGGTGAGCTTTCTGTTACACTCCCCGCTTTTACTGAGCTATTTTCTTCTCTCTCTCTCTCAAATATATTTTATTGATTTCAGAGAGGAAAGAAGAGAGACAGAAATATCAATGATGAGAATCACTGATCTTCTGCCTCCTGCACGCCCCCTACTGGGGATTGAGCCCGCAAACCGGGCATGTGCCCTTGACTTGAATTGAACCTGGGACCCTTCAGTCCTCAGGACGAGGGTCTATCCACTGAGCAGAACCGGCTAAGGCCTCTCTCTCTCTCTCTCTCTCTCTCTCTCTCTCTCTCTGATAATGCCCAGTGCCATGCTCATACCTTGTTAATGTGAATAAAAATGTGTACTTTGAAAGTGAGTTTGGAGTTCTCAAATCTTTTTTTTAACCTTTTTATTGAATTTAATGGGGTGACATTGGCTAATAAAATTATGTGTCTCAGGTGTACAGTTCTATCATACACCATCTGTATTGGATTGTGTGTTTACCACCCCCAGTCAGGTCTCCTTCCATCACCGTTTACCCCCCCTGTACCCTCTTCTACCTGCCCTCTCCCCTGCTTCCCTCTGGTAACCACTATACTCACAGGCGTTCTCTTGTTCCCCAACTCTCAATGCAAACCAGTTACTCCTCTAAGTTCCTGCCTGATTCCTTCTCAGCTCTTAAGAGCTGCAATGATTTCATCCCTAAATTCGTTAGTTGTACGGAAGTTTATCCATATAGCACTCCTATGATATTTCTAAATTAGAACTGCTTTGAAACAGTTTATATAACATAGACATGATTTGTTCCTCAATGGTTTTGAGAAACCTCCCCATAAAACCATCTGAGCCAGATATCTTTTCTTAGCGTTTCATCATTGATTACTTTCTGGTTATTGGTTATGGTTATTGATTGATTCACATTTTTAACTCCTTCATAAGTCAGTTTTCATAAAATAACTTCTATTTATCTAAGTCTGTGCTGTCCAATATGGTAACTGTTGGGGTCCAACCCCAGCAGGCCCAGGGGTTCCCAAAGGTGTGGACGGAGTTGGCGAAGAAGGAATGACACGGAGACTGCGTTCAGTTGATTAGCATAGCCAGGTTCTTTTTTTATTGTCCTGTTACATCTGTATTTATACCATTTGATCCTATAAGTATGCCTCTATAATCACATCATGGTATGTTTTGGGTAACCTTCTACAGTTCCTTGTTTCATTTTTTAAATGTATACACCAGAAAATTTAAAACTACATATGTGATATATTTGTAGCTTGTGTTATATATTTATTGGATAGAGCTAATTTAGATTTTCAAAGTATTGGTATAGAGTTGTGCATAGTATTCTCATATATATTTTAATCTCTTCCTTATCAATAGCTTCCTTTCTCATTACTTTTTTATTGTTTGTTTTTGTTAATCCTCACCCAAGGATATTTTTCCATTGATTTTTAGGGAGAGTAGAAGAGAGAAGGAAAGACACAGAGAAATATCTATGTGAGAAAAACACATCAATTGGTTGCCTCCTGCATGAGCCCCGACCAGGGCCTGGGCCAGGGAAGAGCCTGCAACTGAGATACATGCCCTTGACCGGAATCAAAACCAGGACCAACGCAGGCCGACGTTCTATCCATTGAGCCAAACCAGCTAGGGCCTCATTCTTACTTTTTTAAGATCTTTTCTTCTCCTATCATATTTGCCAAAAAAAATTGTCTGTTCTTATTGATCTTTTCCTAAAACCAGCTTTTTAACCACTAGTTTATATAAAATAGGGGAGACAGAAGGACATGTTAACACATTGGAGATAAAATCTGCACAAATCAGGGTGTTTTCCTCTACATGACAATCTGGATTCTCCAACAAATAAATTGCAAAAAGAGTAAGAAAGATAGAAAGGGGGAACGTCACGATACTTATGAAGTGGTCTAAAGGTAACATATAGATCTGTTTGGAGTCCTGACTTGAATAATTCATCTGTTAAAAATATACCGTAAAAAGGCGGGGGGGGGGGTCAGTTGGGGGGAAAGGAGACATATGTAATACTTTAAACAATAAAAAAAAAAAAGTAAAAAGGTATATAAATGTCTAGTCTCTGTTCTGCACCTGAATCTAATATTATATGTCACTCATATTTAAAAACAAATTTTAACAAACAGCGACATTTGCATGCTGACTGGATATTTGATAACATTAAGAGATAATCATTGTTTCTTTTTAGGTATAAAAGTATGTGGTTATATATTTTTTTAAAGTCACTCTTTTTGAAATATTGAAATTTTTACAGATGAGAAGTCATAGCTGAGATTTGCTTCAAAATAACACAGAGATGGTGGTAGTGGGTGGGTGGAGTATCGATGAAACAAGATTGACCCTGAGTTGATCATTATTGAAGCTAGGTGGTTACATGCAGGTGTATCACACTAACCCGCTTTGGGACAGGTTTGAAATGTTTTGTTATAAAGAACCTGAAGAAAAAAAGATCCTGTTTATACTAATCAAGCTTACTGTTTTGTTTTCTGGTTCACTTATGTCTGTTTTGGTCTGTAAACATTTCTTTCTCTCTTTGGTTTTATGTTACTTAATTTTCTGGGTTCTTTTAGAATTATGTGCCTTGTTCATTACTTGTTTTCTAATAAACACATTTAGGCTATAAATATTCCTCTGAGAATCACCCTGGCCGTGTAACATGTTCTCATACGTGTGCAGTTTCTCGTTCCTTTCCAGGGTGTGCTTTGCGTTTAGAACTGGTCATGTTTTAGTGAAGGAGGTTAACGGGAGGTGAGGGCAGGGCTGGAAAACTGAGAGGAAGCCCTCATCATTTGTTATTCTTTTTAAAATATGTTTTTATTGATTTCAGAGAGGAAGGGAGAGGGAGAGAGAGATAGAAACATCCATGATGAGAGAGAATCATTGACTGGCTGCCTCCTGCACACCCCACACTGGGGATCGAGCCTGCAACCCGGGCATGTGCCCTGACGGGGAATCGAACCGTGACCTCCTGGTTCATAGGTCGGGCTGGCTAGACATTGTTTATTGACTGCTAGTATTTCCTGCACTGTTCTATCGAGGAAGACCTCCTGCCAGAGCTTCCTGGTGTCCAACATTCTAGTTCCGAGGCTGCATTCTCTGCTCCGTTGCCTGTTGCCGGAGCCATGGGCATGAGGAGCTCCAAAATGAAACTGAAGACAGGGTCGTTTCTGTGGTGCCTCTACCTGGACAAGCTCTACTGCCTGCTGTCCCTGAGGAACATGAGGGCCTTGGTGGAGTACTTCAGCCTCCTCGACCCGCACCGCCACAACACCATGAACGGTCAGTGCTGTCAGAAACGTCTCCGCCGGGTCGCGACCTGGTGTCTAGTCACCGACTTACACTGAAGACTGGTGGCAGCTCAGTGAGGAGGGCACAGCTGCAGGCTCTGGGTTTAAATCCTGGCTCTGCCCCTTACCCCTTGGAGATCTGGAGAGTGCCATCACCCTCTTTATTATTTATTTACTAGAGACCCGGAGCATGAAATTCATGCACTTGGGGGGAGGTGAGTGGGGGGTCCCTCAGCCCAGCCTGCGCCCTCTCTCACAGACCAGAAACCCTTAGGGAGATGTCTGACTGACGGCTTAGGCCCAAGCTGTCCGTCAGACATCCTTAGCGCTGCTGTGGAGGTGGGAGAGGCTCCCGCCACCGCTGCTGTGCTCGCCAGCCTTGAGCCCAGCTTCTGGCTGAGTGGCGCTCCCCCTGTGGGAGCACGCTGACCACCAGGGGGCAGCTCCTGCATTGAGCGGGATTGAGCCGAAACCAGCTCTCCGACATTCCCCAAGGGGTCCCAGATTGCAAGAAGGTGCAGGCCAGGCCAAGGGACCCCACAGGTGCACCATCGGGGCCGGGGAGGGACGCGGGAGGTTGGCCAGCCAGGGAGGGACCACGGGAGGGCTCCAGGGCGTGTCAAGCCCATCTTGCTCAGTCCTATGGCCGGACCCCAGCAGCAAGCTAACCTACCAGTCGGAGTGTCTGCCCCTCTGGTGGTCAGTGCATGTCATAGCGAGTGGTTGAGCAGCCTTAGCATATCATTAGCATATTACACTTTGATTGTTTGAATGGACAACCGGACTACCAGACACTTAGCATATTAGGCTTTTATTATATAGGATTTTTTCTTCAATTTCAGATATTAGGCTTTTATTATATAGGATTTTCTCTTCAATTTCAGAGAGGAAGGGAGAGGGAGAGATATAGAAACCGCTACCAAGGATCAAGCCCGCAATCCAGGTATGTGCCCTGACCAGGGATGGAACCAGGACCCCCTGGTTCATAGGTCAACGCTCAACCACTGAGCCACAGCGGCTGGGCTCAACACCCTGTTTAAGTCTCACTTTCCTCGTCTGTGAGTGAGGATTCTGATAATGGAGTCCATCTCATGGTTGGGGGAGAAGATAATTGCATGAGGCAATTATGGAAAATGCATGGCACCTGGTGAGGACTTGGCGTTCACTGTCATTGTAATTATTCCTGGGGGTCGAGCCCCCTCAGCAGCAAGACTTCTCATCTGTCAAATGGGATGTTTGTATCAAATAAATGATATGCAAGGTCCCTTCTAATTCTTGGTAATTGTGAGTGACCAACAAGTACTGACCATCCTCACCTTGCCTTTGAGTGCACAAACCAATAGAAGATTAGTCAAAAGACTTTAGGGGTTTTTATAGGACTGAGTAGAAAGCAGGTTTCCTATCCATTCATTGTGACCTGAGAGAGATTAAGGTCATTTGTGAATAAGGGGTTTCTTCCATAAAGATTTTTAAGAGTTCATTCAATCTTTAAAATATAATTTAAAAAAACACCTTCATTTTCTCATCATTTCCTGCCTCAGTGTTTCTCGTTACACATAGATTTTCACAGGGTATGTCACCAACTCTTTGCAAAAACGCAGTCCCTGATCACGCAGCTGCAGGGCACCGAGCTGTAAACAGAAAACCTGGGACTGAAGCCCAGGGCGTTCGGACTCCAAAGCCCACTCTT